TAAAAGTGGCAATTCTTCAACAAAAAAACTTCAAAAACAGACTCCAACAAGAGACTGCTGAATTAGAATTAATTTGCAAACTGGCAACAATTAACTTAGGCTTGAATAAAGACTGGGAGAGGATGGGTCATTACACAAAGTAAAACTATTTCCCCTTGTTTATTCCTCCTCCCCGCCGCTGTTTTCAGACGTTCCTGTCAACTGCTGGAAATGGCCCTCCTTGATTATCACTACAAATGGTCGCCCCCCCCCCCGCCCCCACTCTCCTGCTGGTAATAGCTCACCTTACCTGATCACTCTCCTTACAGTGTGTATGGTAACACCCATTGTTTCATATTCTCTATGTATATAAATCTCCCCACTGTATTTTCCACTGAATGCATCCGATGAAGTGAGTTGTAGCTCATGAAAGCTTATGCTCAGATAAATTAGTTAGTCTCTAAGGTGCCACAAGTCCTCCTTTTCTTTTTGCAGAGAAGGATGTGTGTATCTGTGTGCATTCTTCACACAGACATCCTGAAAGACCTGGAAAGACTGGGATGCAAGTCTCATTGGGAGCATGGAAATAAAGAAAATAGTCATTGTTTTTCAAGCACAGTAGGCATGCATTGCATTTTATAAAACAGTGGTTAGGCAAGTTCCCACACTAAGAATCTCAATCTAAACATCCAACTGTTGCATTGGGAGAACAGGCAAAAACAATACACCTCACCCTTCTGATAAAGCTCTCTGATAGAGAGCCTTGGCCTTCAGCTACAGTACATGAAACCCAAATATATTTAAATTCCCTGGAATATTTTTACACTTACCAAGGCTGCTTCACTACTTCTAGCACAGTCAAAAATGCTTAGTCTAAGAGTAACATCACTAGCATGAGTACTACACAGAAAACTTTTATTTTATGAGTCATGAAATCAAATAGTCAAAAGTGGCCAGTGACTTTGGGTGTACAGCTTGACACAACTAGGGCCAGATTTTTGATGTGCTGAGGAACCACTAAGAACTACGAATGCTCAGCACCTCTGAAAATTGGACCAAGGCGTCTAAAGTTGGGCACATAAAAATTGAGGCACAGTCACTGGCCACCACTGAAACTTCTGGCCTAAACCTTTAACAATTGTTCTGCATCTACACTTCCACATCAGAGGCATATGTATCTGGTAGAAAGTCTATTTGCATATCTTAATTAAAAAGCATCTTAAGCATTGGAATATAATGCATTTAATTGTTCTAGAAACAAAAGCAATCCTTCTCTTCCCTCTCTGATTACGGTATTTGCAATTCAAGGCCAGGAAGAAGTTAAGCACATAATTAAAATGAAACCACATCATTTGAAACTAAGAACTACTGAAATATCAAACCTGATCCGGCTGCCAAAGTCAGTTTTTCACACTGACATTTTTCCTGTCTTATGACAAGTTAGAGTTAGCTTTAAGCCTGCATAGTGTCAGCTTTAGCTCCACTTGTACAGAAAAAGGAAAACAATATGACAGCCCCAAAGGAGGAGATGAAGGGCTGAAATTAAGTGAAATTGTTCCATATCTAGTGTGACCTTTTCTTTACCAAAATACAGAGAACCATACCTTAAGAAGATTTTTAGATTGTGTTTAGGGGGAAAAAAGCCTCCTTCAGTGCTCCCCTCCCCTGAGATTAACTTCAGATAGCCACCTGCTAAGAAGCCTAGCTAGTCATCTCCAGAGCGACAGACAAATCCTATGCTAGTGCTGGCCAAGTAATGTTAGGGCAGCCTAAACAAAGGATGGAAAGGGGGATAAAACAGAAGTATCCAGATTTAGAAGAACTGATCTACATAGTTTTTATTGATTTAACTATATCTGTTTATAAACAGATATAGTTAAATCTATGCAACCCCTAATGCAGTCAAAGTTTATGCTGCTATCAAAGTGCTTATATCTGTATAGCCTATTTCAGTAAATTGACTACGTTTCTAGATCAATATAGGTAAACCAATATAAAAACTGTGTTGACCAGCCTGAAGATGCCAGGGAGAAAAATGCAGTAACACCTGAAAAAGATCTTAAAACTGTTTTTTCCCCCGAAGTTGTAACTGCATCTCGTAAAGGAAACGTAGTGCTTCATGTACCCAAAATATAAGTGACTAAATTAGTCACAAAGCCTTTGCTCTGGGTGTACTACTGTACGTAGTCTGTAACCCGCAAAGAACTACCCTCATTCTGCAAGAGAATTATTAATCAGCAAACTGGTCGAACCTGAAACAATCAGCACCGCCTTCCAGTGGTCAGGTGACTGTTCTGACCTTGATGTGGCAGGAGATGGAAACCTGCAGTAATCTGGCTCTGTATAGAAGACGCTAGAAATTAAATGTGGTTCTCACAGGAAAAGTAATCAGAGTTACCAAAAAAAAAAAAAAAGCAAGAGATCGTATTTAAATATCATCACAAACTGAACTCCTGCAAAATATAACCCTAGGAACTTCTTCCTAGACCACTCACTGAATATTTAGAGGACAAAAGACACCCTTAAAGACCAAAACAAAAACAAAAACAAAAAAACCAAAAACACCTTTCCCTTCACATAAAATATGAATCTTATCACAGAAGATTTGTACGGTTCTCTTTACTTGTTATATAACATGATGAATAGAGTTTGTTAATTACCAAAATGACTTGCTGCAGTTTTGTTCTATCTGTTTATCCTGCAGACTCAACAACCATGGCAAATGCCCTGATGTGGGACTGATTCAGAAGACATGAAAAGGGAGGAGGGGGCAGAGACTGCAGCCTGAGCAGTTACTGTAAGAGAACACTTCTGAGCACTCCAATCTTTCCACACTTTGATAGGGATTAACTTAATGATCCCATACATTGATTCCTGGTGAATTACTGCAGTTCTATTCAGTACAGCATGCAGCTGTACATCATCATACTGTACTGCAAAATATCAATCTTCTAAGAACACTGCTGTAATGAGAGAGGTGTATGCTTTATAGAGCTAGCTACAAAATAAATAAGTAATGCACAGAAAAAGCCACCTTTAAATTAAAATAAAAAAAGACATTTAAAGTTTGGGTATTCTTCATTATGGGAAAGAACCTTCCACTTTGAGACTATTATCCATCAGAAAAGCTCCATCTGTTGTATAATTATCTCTGATAAATGACACTAGTTTGAGCTTCATTAGGGAGGTGGGGGGAGGGGAAGAGAGAGCTAGCTGGAACTGTAAATAAATCTCACTGTTTTGCACTTAAACTAAAGCCATCCCAGCAGGAAGGTGTAAAAAACAATTTTTATAGGTAATATTTTCAAGTGCTCTCTACTGGCTGTACTGCCTAATATCATTCACTTGGAGCATCCATTGAGGAGTGTGTAGCTATTAGGGATGGAAAACACTTTATTTCTTTAATTCCCCTCTCCCCACACCCACACACATTCCTTGTAATCCAACTCAAGTCTCAATGAAAACATTTTCACAAAACCTGGCCCAGCAGCATGGAAGAAGTGCCCTGTATCACCAAATGGTAGATCTTGGGTTATGAGTGAGCAGGGGATTGAAGGCCCCAGACCTGAGAAGGCCCAAGGTGTTGTTGAATTCTCTAGGAAAGGTGTTGTAAGAACTGCTTTTACAGCACCCCACAGGGTTTTCCATGGAGAAGCGCTGGACGGAGGGAAGTGATGGGATCGTGGCCGCCAGCAACTGTGTGTGTGAAGGAAAGACAACAATAGTCACGTTGCAAATTAACTCTTATTACAGCAACGGATATCAGAGTGCCTTGGAGTTTAATTAATAGGAAGTGCCCATTTCTGCCTGCCATAGTACTGACAGGGTACCCAAATACTGCATTCGTAGCATAGTACAATCTAATTTTAATTTAAATTTATGTTACAGTTAGTACAAATAAACTGTCACAATCCCATACTTGTATGCAGTGTTGTTGTACCCGGGTTGGTCCCAGGATATGAGAGACACAAGGTGAGCGAGGTAATATCGTTTACTGGACCAATCCATACGGATACATACGGCCTTGTTCAAATCACTCAAACTAACAAAACTGAAACCCAACAAAGGCAATGTATCAAAGCTCCTTCAGCCCTGGCACTTTGAGGCAACTACTATAAAGAACTCCTCCAAGTGTTTAAGAACGCTGGCATCTCCAGAATCTTCCCTACTGAAAAAGAAGTGGATAGAAATATGTTCTCCTTGAAATGTGCATGTGTATCTGCCATTCATTAGATACCAGGGTATTAAGAGCAAGAGCGATTCTTTCCACAGCCCACCTTTCAAAAAAGTAAGACTTCAGTCTAAAGAAAATGAAACTATGAATCACACATTATTTACGAGTGTAACGTATTGTAAAATTTGTAACTCAATATATTACACACAGCATTAACTTATATAGAAATTTAGAATAAATTTTCCTGAAAGAAGGCAGACATTAGCCCAGAGTTTTAGCACGCCACATCTGAACACTTTACCTCTGCCTTTAGATAGGATTCTGGTCTGTAAGAGTTCTGTAGATAAACAGAGAACCGTGACCAGGGAGATGGGGTCAAAGATCATCCCACAGTCAGTTCTGTGAGAGATTCACCACTAGTGTAACAAACCCTATGTTACTGCACATAGCCATTTTAAAAAGGTTTTAAAATAATGATATATGGACCAAATTGTTAAGATTCGGGGTTCTATGCCACAGCATACAATAGTTTACTTGTAGTAATGTAGGGACAGAATTTCATAAAAATGGGTAAAACTGTCTTAGAGTCAATCAAGATCAGCAAGACTAAAGTTCAAATAGCTGTACATCAGTATAAAAATAGTTTCTAAAATCATGGTGGCACCTTTTTTGTTTGTTCATTTTTGATTAAACCCAACAGTTTGAGTTTCACGATTATTTTCTAACTCCCTCCTCCCCAAAAGAGAGGTCATATCTTTCTAGTAAGAGGCAGTAATAAGTGGCACTGAGAAAAGAGCAGATGTTTAGGTTTCCTCTGTTTTCCCCTCCTCAAGGCTCACGCACTTACATTCCTCTTTACTCAGTGAAGTTACATTCAGTTCTGTCGAAAGTTGCTGGCTGGAGTGAACAGTCTGCGTAGTAAGAGAGGTATTGCTGTTGTCACTGTTTGTTTCTCCAGAGAACAAATCTGATTGGCTGTTGCTTGCACTGGGAGTGGAGTCATCATCTGGCTGCTTCTTTTGGAAATCTATCAAAAACAAGGTTGAGAAAGTGGAATGAGGTATGAAGGCTACTCACTTCATTTTATGCTTGAAGCAGCAGAATTGAGAGGAAAAAATGAAAATAGTCCAAAATGCAATGAGTACACGGTCTGGGTTAACATCACTCCAACTGATTCCATGGATATACTGTAGAATAAAATGCTGAAGTAGCCTTAAGGTTTTTGATTTATCCCAGATTTGAAACTTCAGTTTAGAATTTCCTTGTTATGTGTGTTTAACGTCTAACACTTAACATACATGCTGTTGTATAAACAGCTAAAAACTAAGTGAGGAGAAAGTATGCATCTGATGAGGTAAGAACTGGAAGAGATTCCCTGGGTTATCCAATCCAACTATAAGAATATTTACACAATGGTGTTGTGAAAAATGTTTCCCACTGAGACCAGTAAAGTTCCACTAGGGTAGCAATGATGGGAGTGTTAGAGTAGACAGGACTTCTGGTTGTCTGTGAGCACTGTAAGCACAGTATGGTCTAACCCTGTTCTGAGCAGACCTATATAAACATGAGTAAAATGCCTGCAATGGTTGTCTGGCATTTTGTCTATACCAGTGCTCCCCGCCCTTGTTCCCACTAATGGAGCTGAACTGGTGGCAAAAACTGTGGGAAATTTTAGAGACGGTAAGCCAGAGTAAAGCCTACCTGACGGAAATAGGCGTTGCCTCTATATTACTTTCTCTGAACAGTTTATCTAGCCTGCTATTTAAATCTCTCTCCTAAAGGTGTCTAGGGCTACATCTGCATTGCGGACTACAGGCGCGTGACATGCAGACCACACCCAAGTGTTGTGCTTTAACTGCCCTGTATGGACACTGCTGGCAAGAATGAAAAGGTACCTAGTTTGTGTTAGCATAGTCCTGTCTGAAAGATGACTATGTTAATGTGAACTAGGTACCCTTTAGCTTGTGTCAGCAGCATCCTCAGAGGTCAGTTAAAGAGCAACACTTTGGTGTGCTCTGCAGTTCACATCCCCATAGTCCTTAATGTGACATGGTGCAGACAAACCCTAAGCCATCTCTTTGGATAATCGCTCCAGGACCTAGACACCACTTAAGTGAGGGATTTAATACCTAACCCTACAATTTTCCTATCACACTGCTGCTGTTTCTAATATTCTCAAATGATGAGTAATCCTCCATCCTCTACACTACTACTTCGCAAACCGTGGCAGACAATCATCATAACCATCCCACTTTATCCGCTTTTTGCAAAGCTATACATAGTCAAGTTCCCTTAAAACAAGAGAAAGCTCCTTATATACTCTATTTATACTGGAGAAAACTCAAATATATAAAAGTAAAAATATAAATGTTTTCCCCCAACTTTTCTTTTGTCATATTTGCTAAATAGCAAAGATAAAATTGTGAGCATAGAAATGCATCCCTCCCTCTCCACCCTCACCCTCTAACAGAGACTGCAGTGAAGTCATAGTTCTTCACATTTCAACTGTAGCAACAGAATACTGTGAAGAAAAGTTTAGAAAAGTACTGGCAATGCAAACTGTTTGCAGATAAACTTTCACTCTTCCCGCACCAAGTAAAAACCTCAGCTTAATTTTCTCCACAGACATATCTTGTAAATCTTTTATTTTACCTCGCCTTTCCATGTCTTTTCTCTAACATACAATGCTTATGGTACCTAGATTGTAAGCAATTTAGGACAGGTACTATGTCTTTATACAAGTATAAAGCATCTAGCATACTGCTGATGCTATACATGTTAATAAATATGGAAATATTAGCATTAACATTCAGATATACATGACAACCAGCTTATTCCCTGGGCCTCTCAGTCCTTAACCTTTTCCTCCATGTCTCAGACTTGGCTCATTCGCCCCAGCTGTACTCCATCTGTAGATAAGAAGCAGTCGAACAGCCCATGGATTCCTGTGGAGACAGGGCTCTCATCTTTAAAACAGATGAGAACTGGGGAGACCACAGGTCCTTGCAAGCAGTGTTCCAGATCTAGCCAAGCAACTGGGCCACTCATATCAAGGCAAATCATTGCATGTTGAGACCTGTACCCTCCATGGGCTGCTGCATATCTATATGAAAGATGAGAGTTTGCAATCTCCTCCATTTCCTCATACTTTGTTAATACTTGAAACAAATTGCAAGGGACAATTCTCCAAATAAAATAGGGTCTGGGGTCTGCTGCAAGGTTATATTTGCATTTTGATTAATTTCAGGTTGCTTCGCTTTTGGAAAGGTGTGAGGAAAAGGCAGAGAACAATAAATTAAAATGCATATAAAACCTTCCAACTCTCCCCAGATGGTTCTGCTTATCTGAAAAGTCGCAGCGGTTCTCTAACTGTGGGTTGGGACCCCAAAATGGACCACGACCCCATTTTAATGGCGTCATCTGGGCTGGAGTTAGACTTGCTGGGGCCCCGGGCTGAAGCCAAAGCCCCACCACCCAGGGCTGAATTCCGAATGCTTCAGCCCTGGATGGCGGGGCTCAGGTTACAGGCCCCCTGCCCAAGGCTGAAGCCCTTGGACTTTGGGCCCCCCACATGTGGTAGCAGGGCTTGGGCAGGCTTAGCTTTGGTCCCCCCCCAAGGCTCGTGTCATAATTTTTGTTGTCAGAAGGGGTCATGGAGCAATGAAGTTTGAGAACTGCTGTGTTAAAGAGTTGCTTCTCACAGCTCCAGGAATTTTCCCGATGCTTATGGCCTTCCACCCACCCATACCATACACCTCCTGCCCTTTTGTGCCCAGGGATTCTCCTAGGACCCCCACCTATGCAGGTTCCTATCCTGGTAGCAGCTCAGCTGTCCACAACAGAGGTGGAGCTGCTGAGGGAGAGAAAAGACAAGACTTGACTAGGTTGGGAAAATGACAGGTGTTTTTAAAAAAGTGTTAGCCAATACACGTCAACATATTGTGACAGACCCAGACCAGTGGGATACAGGAGTCTGGTAGAAGGCAAATATATTGGCCACTGGATGAACAGTTTTCTGTTCCCTGAGTGACCAGAGCAGGGGCTGTCCTAGAGCAATCAGGAACCTGCCAGAACCAATTAAGACAGGAAAGCTAATCAAGACACCTGGAGCCAATTAAGAGCTTTCTAGATTCAAATATGGCAGACCTGGTTTAAAAAGGACCTCCCATCAGTTAGGAGGGGGGCGCGACAAGAGCAAAGAGTGAGAAGGCATGCTGCTGGAGGAGTGAAGAGTTCAAGCATGATCAGCCTTCAGGAGGAAGATCCTGCAGTGAGGATAAAGAAGGTGTTGGGGAGAAGGCAATGGGAAGTAGCTCAGGGAGTTGTAGCTGTCACGCAGCTGATACAGGGAACATTGTGGACAGCCGCTATCCACAGGGTCCTGGGCTAGAACCCGGTGTAGAGGGTGGGCATGGGTTCCCCCCCGCATCCGCCAAACTCCTGATCGGACACAGGAGGAGCTGACCTGGTCTGTGAGAAACACCAGAAGGGAAGGTCTAAATTGGAAAGGGATCTGCCCTCTCCCCGGCCCACTAGGTGAGACACAGAGACTGAGGGGATTTTTCTCCGTTTCCCCATGCTGGCCAGTGATGAGGTCAGCTGAGTGGACGGCAGGTTTGAGCCACTAGCAAGAGTGGCCAAACTGAGGGCTGCCGTGAATCTCTGAGGCAAGCAAATCCACCAATAAGCGCAGGACCCACTGAGGCAGAGGACGAACTTTGTCACAATATTTTTAACCACCACTTAGCACCTAGTGCAGACACAGGGCTTACCTGGACTAAGAAAACAGGTAGTGTTTAAAAACATGTTACCTAACACTTTTAATGCCTTTCAAACACTAACTTAAACACAGCTGAACTTTTCTAAAAATTATTAGCTAATTGAGATCACTCCTTAGGCTCTCAGTTAGCCTATCCCTATACATATAGTATCTCCAGCCAGCTAATATATTTTTAAAGGAGTTACCTGTGTCCAGAGTAGCTGCAAAATCATGTTTAAAATCATGCTAGCTAACATTTTCAAACAATCTATATTCCTAATCTAGACAGGGCCCAAGAGTGAGCTGCCAGGGGCATGAAGCTGGATCTTCTGCCGCTGAGCTAGAGAGGAATCAGCCAGGGACTGAGGGGGCTCCTGCCTAGCAAGAAGCAGCTCAGAGAAAAAATTTCACCTGTTGCAACAGCACAGTCTTGAGACATTGGCAGGGATAGCAGTTGTCACAGATGGGTTTTGAAACCCTGGGAATGTCTTGGTCAAATGAGAACTGTTGGCAGCTATGTTTGATTCACTGTGAGCACGGCCCTTGAGCTCCTGGCTGAGTACCAATCTGACGCTTTGCTAGGGAAACTTGGGCACTCATGGTGTACATCCTGCCTGCACTAAATGTTCTCTACCTGCAAATGGAAGGACAGAGTAGAGATTAGATAAAAAATGTTTTAGGACGGATTTATATGCAAAGCACTGCACAACAATTAAGCTGTATTGTACACATCTCGGAAATGGAAGTACCTACAACCCTTGAGCAATGGAACAAAATATATAATGGTTACACTCCATATTCTACACCAGTGATCTGAAAAACCCATTTAAAAAGTCAATTTGAAGTTATAATAATAGAAATTAAGAAAAATATTAACATCCTACAAGTCAAAAATTCTCAGCTGATTTATTCTCTCCCTGCAAAACAGGTACAAATATTTTGCTTTTGGGCTGTGCTGCCTACTAAGTTTCATCCACAAAAAGTATTTACAGGTGAATTTTAAAACTTTAAAAATTAATCCATATAATGCAAGTCCTGACAGACCCCTTATGACAATATAACTAACCGTGGCTGTACACTACATCTCCCAAAGCTATTTATTTGTTCAGCGTGCACACTCAGCAAGGTTGGGGGGTTTTCTGAAAGGCTATTCATTTTTACACCCCACTGATAAACCTTCCTGTTTGAAATTGGGCACAAAAGGTTGACAAAAAATTAATCATTCAGCAATGTCATTCCCCAGAAGCTTAATATTGAAACAGCTGGCA